TGGCAGAGGTGGTACCTTCAGTACTGGTGGACAGTGGAAGTTCTCTCAACTCCCCTGTGCTGTGTCTCAGACCGCGCTGTTTGGCTGCAGGAGTGGGTGATCACAGAAGGCTAAGGGCTTGGGCTGTTCTGGGTGCTTCCTGTGAACAATGCTGTGCTCTGCTCTCAACACCCTGTCATGACTCATAGTTTTGTGCTTGAAGAGAAGTTGATAATTGAAGACAGTGATTCATGATCTATAAAGACTTTTAACCCCAGTTTCTAAAGGACAGTTAGCTCGATCTCTGTGTACGGCTTTCCTGTAAGGGTGCAAGTTGAAGGGAAATACATGACTGAATGCTAGAACATGCAAATATGTACGTGTAAATAAAGCTAGCCTCTTTGAAGGTGCTCAACAATCGTTATTCCTTCTGGCTTTTGTAAGCAGTTGCCTTCTCTTCGAGTTACAGAAATGCTTTTAATTAAACAATGATGTTTTACTCCAGAAGGATTTTTAAAGTACTTTTTGAGCTGTGGAGACCTTGAAACTGAATTGTGTTATAAAGTGTTATGCATGGGAAAACACTCCTTAGGGATACTTGAGTAAGAATTGCCATTCCACAGCAGTTATGTGACACTACTATATACAATGTTGTGAGTTTTGAGAATCTTCCAGTAAAATGAAAACAATCAGGGCAGTAACAAGAACCTTATCTTGAAGTACGTGAAATGATAATGCAGCGGTTTCACAGAGGCAGGTTGGGGCCCATCCACATTATTGTACAGCATACCACATGGCAGCCCTGCCTCAGCATTGTTTGCTGCCTCCTCCCTTGGGGAGTTTCACACCCAGTCCATATCTAACCAGTAGTTTAATGTTTTTCTTCTTAGGGAAGGCATAATGCATTGGGCAGAGAATATGGCTCAGAAATCCTAAAAAATGGGGTTTGTAGTGTAGGTAAATTTCCTCAAAGACAGAAGAGAGGTGAGGGAAGAAGGTCTGGGCCCTTCTACATGTTTGTTTGTTTTTTTTTTTTTCCTGGCAACTAAAATGCTTTCAGGAAAATACATTCCTATGCCGTGATCTTTTCTCTCCTGCATGGCCTTTCAGGAAGGCTCAAATCTGTAGCTCAGGCAAAGTTCTTTTGAGGAGGATGACTTCAGAGGCAGCAGGCCCTGCCTCCAGCTGTGGTGTTCCTTGGCCTGCAGCACGAACCGTTTCGGACTACTGGATGGAGCAAATTCAAGTATCTTAAACCCGGAAATGGTGCCCGAGAGCCTCTTGGCTTGAGAGCTCCTTGCTGAGCCCCGGCAGCTGCTGAGGCCCCCGGAGCTGCGGCTGAGACAGCCCGAATGTGGTCAGGAGAAGCTAAAAGGAGCCCCCTCCACGCTTTCGGGGCACACCCGAAGGGCAGTAGCGGCCGAAACCGCCAA